TCCAATGATTTTCTGTAATCTGCTAACGGCCAAACTGGAAAGTGATACGTTGAGCAAACGAACGGCATATGGTTACTCCAGGATCAGATTTCACAATGCATTGTCCCTGATTCCGTAAAGGTGATGTAAGCAGGTCACGGCTCTATCGTCTTGGAGCACCTGCACATCATTTTGCTTACGTTCATTACGAACGATGTGTCAGGTGTTGGTCCCCCTTATATGCTGCCGTATACACATGAAAGTATGTTGATGCATACAGAAGTGTAACAAATAACGCATAACTCTTCCGAGAGCAGATTTTACTCTGTACTGCATCACTAACTTGGCTATAGTTACTTCGGGGACCATTTAAGCGGACCATTACTGAACAGTATTTGAGCATGTGCGATGTCAGATGCCTCAGACGTCGTTTTATTCGCCAGAGCTACGTCTCGCGCTCCTTACGAACGATGTTTCGCAAGCTCAGTTCATGCGCTCCTCATACGCCATCGCATGAACATCAAAATATCAAGCAGACGAAATAAAATTATTTCATAATAACAACCGCATGTCTTACGGAAACTCAAGTGCACGAGCGACTGGTCAGTCGTTGAATGAAACGCTTTCCGTTCTCTCAACACAGCCTGTTGTTGTTATCACCGCAGTGCAAGACTTAGCAGAGCTTGAAACTTCACAAAGGCACAGTTGTCAAGCATAATGGTGTCGTAATTCATGCCTCTGGAACGCTATCAGATTTATTTCTGTAATTATTTCTTTAATCGTTATTTACATTTGCGGGTGCTTGGTCACTTTATCAAAGCAACGCTCCAACGCCGGGAGAATAATAAACTTTATTTATTGCGCAATTCGATATGAAAACTTCTGAGAATAAATGCGTCCAGCACGGAAGGCCTTCAACCTTTCAACAGTCCGCAGAATGTCGCATTCCCTGCACTCCACTGCTATAAACACACTGCTCTTGCGACTATTCATATCTGACAGCTATTTCATTTTTTGACCGTGTTCCATAGTAATTACTATGGTAGATGGCGTGATTCCCGAAACGCACCAAGCGGAATGAAGAACCGGTTAAAATTACATTCTATAAATGTGTGTTTTAAATATAATTTATAGTTTTAAAATTCTGCCGTTTCCGACCCTAAGCACATCTGAGAAAGGAGGAGTGTTAGCGATCGTGGCAGGGTTTCCGTAAAATGTGGCCACTTGTTCCTCATGGCACAGCCGTCATCGAACATTATACCGGCTCGGTCGTCGTCCGGGTTACCAAGGGCCGCGCAGGCTGTTGGGGGACTGAGG